CTATGGATTTGTTTTCCTCTAAGTATGTGTGCCAGTCCCAGCTGCAGGACAGAAAGAAGGCTTTCTATAGGGCGTTCCACGGTGCCAGAGTCTGCAGCTGCCCAATGGTGGGTGCGTCTTAAAAAGCTGCATAGTATATTTATATTTTGGATCAGGTCATTAGATTAAATTCTTCTGAAAAAACACACTGTGTGAAATTTGTAATCACATATCGAATTCTAATGAGGTGAAGAGAACTTATTTGCAATTAAAAATCAAAGATTTATGCATGTGCACAAATCCTGTTACAGGCCAGTCAGCTCCACTGTACTTCAGAGTCTGCCAATTTTCATTATTCACCTCTGTTCTGTAAACATCAGTTAACTTGGAATTGAAGCAACTTTGTTAAGAAGCACTTTTACCTGTTTTTAAAATAACATATGAAAGTTTGTTTTAAAGTGGCAGTGAAAAGATTATGCTCTTGAAATTATGCAGCATTTTAAAATACAAGATTTCAGAGGCCATTATGATGGTTTATGACTTTGGAGTACCTTTTCCTTTCCCAATTTCCTGCTGGAAACTCCCTCTGAAGAATTCTCTTCAGAGCTGTCTGGTCCCACTGTGCAGCCTCATAAAAGGGTCATTGGCCTGGTTTACTGCTTTGAAAAGCTGCTAGAACCTGCCATTTCATGTGGCCCCAATGGCTGGTTCACTGGTCTACAGTAAGCTGCCACAATCAGCACATAATTGACCTTCCCTCCTTACTTACCCATGAACAGGTTGCCATATTTTAATTTTAAAAAAGGAGGACACTCCACGGGGCCCCGGCCCCGCCCCAACTCCGCTCCTTCCCCTGAACGCTCCGCCCCCTGCTCCTCCCCCTCTCCTGCTTCCCGCGTATCAAATTTTCGCGGGAAGCCTGAAACAGGGAGGCAGCAGGTAAGCTGGGGCTGCGTGCGGCGCGGCCCAGTCCGGCCCCCCTGGCCGAGCGGCTCCCTCCAGCAGCCGGGCGGCCCAGACCAAGAGGCTCTGACCTGGTGTCTCCCACCCGGCTCAGCTTGGGCTCTGGGGCGCTGGCCCCTGGCTCCCGGCCGAGCACCGCCGGGCCCTCCCTCCCTATTTTCCCGGACATGTCCGGCTTTTTGGGATTTCCTCCCGGACGGGAATTTGAGGCCCAAAAAGCCGGATATGTCCGGGAAAATCCGGACATATGGTAACCCTACAAGGAGAAGCAGGACTATTTTTAAAGGAATAAAAATGGGCCGTGATTGTCACAACTAGTGACTAGTGATTCTGTGAGCCGAGTTTTTGGGAGCCCAACTTGAGACACCTTAAAAAGAGGACGAATTTCAGAGGCAGGTGGCTCAGGCCCTCTCAAGGGGTCTGAGACACTAAGGGCACAGCTGTCCAAGAACTACTGAGCTCTGATGGAGATCCAAGCCACTGCCCCAGCCTCAGCCTCACTGCAGTCAGGGGAGAAAGGGGGAGCATGCTAATAGAGGGCAAAACATTTTTGGCATTCAAACAGTTGCTATCCATTCTGAAGGACACAATATTGCATGTGAACTGGTGGCAAATGAGTCACAGACATCGACTTTGTTCCGTATCTAAGGATATCACTAAATACTGCCAATGCAATGTCATTGTTTCCATAGCAACTAAAGCATTTCAAATGGAACAGAGAGAGACTAATATAAGACAAATGGGGGGCATAAACATGATATGTGATGGCATGGTGTTGTGTGGTGTTAAGTGTTAACGTCCACTACTTTTGGATGAATTGCATAATTCATTAATAACTTCACCATTGATAAATAATGAGGTCATTCCAGACCGGTGCAATAAAAACTTTATACCTCCCCACCACAAAGTCTCCATTTTTGTAATATTTTGTTTTCAAATTGAAATTAAGTTTTAAATCGTTTAAAATCATTTTCTCCTACCAGTTCCCTAAAAACATGGCTGGTGAGGAACTTGGATGCATAACGCTTAGCCTAAAGTTTTGCCATCAGTTAGAGAATATTTCGATAGCAATCTGGGTTTAGTAACCAATACCACTTCTCACTACCGCCTCACTTTGTACACAAGGATTACAAAGAATTTTGCAAATGTGAACTAATTAAGCCTTACAACAACCAACAATATTGTGTGTAGAAATACACACACAAATAAAAGAAAAGAAAAGAAACAATCTAACAAATGTACATATTTCATGCAACTTATTTTTGAGAACCATCTTGAAAATAGCTTGTAAGGCCCTTCAAGCTGAATTCTTGGATATAGGTCATAATTGCAGATAGCACATGTAATTTTCCTCGTCTATAACATTCTCCATCCACACACAACATTTCAGACGCGAGAATCATTGCTCTATAGAATATGATGTAGTGCCGAAAGCCCAATAAGTGTTTTACACTTTCTGTAGGTCCCTGATCCCCAACATTAGAAAAAAGAACAGTAATACAATCTATCTTCCTCACCAGTGTTAAAATGCTGTGGCATGAACTCAATAAGGATTATACATGAGTTTTTGCTCTCACAGGCTTTTGGATCACTTTATTTTTACAAAGTAATCTGAAGTTGGGTGCCAGGCTAACATTCACCATGATGGGGGGAGGGTTAGCTCAGTGGTTTGAGCATTGGCCTGCTAAACCCAGGGTTGTGAGTTCAATCCTTGAGGGGGCCACTTAGGGATCTGGGGCAAAATCAGTACTTGGTCCTGGCAGGGGGCTGGATTCTATGACCTTTCAAGGTCCCTTCCAGTTCTAGGAGATAGATATCTCTCCATATATTTTAATGTAACTGCTCTTAAAAAATTCCAAAGATGTAGAAAAAAGCAACCAATCATGAAGTTGAAGAAGATTCAGAATAATTCCAAAATATTTCACCATGACTAAAGACTGAGAGGTAGGTCTAAGGGAATCTACGGTGTCAAGACTAAACTAGATAGTGGGAACTACAGACAGTGTTGTAGCTTGCTTATCAAGACGACATAAAAAGACCAGTGGAAGTAAATATAGGTAGGCGTTAACATCTTTTCCTCAACAATTTAAAAGGTACTAAAATTATATCCAATTAGAGAATATATGCTGACACAAGAGCATCTCTATTATTAAGATTGAAGGCTAACCTTCCATTACACTGGTCTACAATTTTTGAGAAGTCGTCTGCTTCAGAGATAAAATGTGCTATGTATTATGTATTTTGATGTGCTGAATTCAAATATGACAATTAAAACAACTGATTGGCTACTGTTTCTAAGATATTTAAGGTTTTACATTTTATGTCTATGTATAGTTTGTAGATAGTAGAGTTTTAATCATAAATTGTAAACCTAGGTCTTTTCATGTGTTTATGGTTGCTTTACATGATAATATTTCACCTGTCCTGTTTATGTAACACTTTAAAAATCAGCAAAAGGGTTATATAAATAAAATTTACTATGAAACAAACTGGGTGTATAGCTGATGGAATGTTTGGATAATGCACAGTCCACTTTTTCTTCTTTGACACACCTTTCCCAACTGGAGGCACCATGCAGAAGTAACAATTGCTGGTATGATCTGTTGGCTCTCTCCAAATCACTGGCACTGCAAAAGGCATA